TTTTAATTTATATTTTGTCTCAAAATAGTTAGTTTCAACTTAGAGGTGATCTTCTCCCTCCAAGGTTTAAATTGGGTTAGAGTAACTATAATTTGACCCCAATAGGGTTTAATGTTGGAGAATTCATCTCTAATTTCACTTGTCCTAATCAATTTTAACTTTAGAAGATAAGAAAATCCCCAAATTGTACCAACACTTTTGAGCCATAATTTGAAAAAAGACTCACTTTCAGCTCATAATCTAAGCACAACTATCTTGACGTTAAGTGGTCACATGACTGACCTTGCCGGATTTTGGCACCGGCCAAAAAATAGAGGTATATGTTACTGATTTACATAAAATATAACATATCATCATGGAGTATAGAGTAAGAAAATATATCTATTTGGTATCTAGGGTTAGAGGGTGTTTGTTTCAAATCCTATAATTTTAGGATATGGATTTCACCATGGGATTTGAAATCCATTGGTTTTTTAACATGGGTTGGGATTTCTAAAACTTTGTTTGTTTTATCAATATTTTGGGATTTGAAATGCTATAATTTGTAATATTTAGTTTGTTTTAAACTTAAATTGTAGCATTATAATAGAATTTGAAATCTATAGTTGTAGCAAACAAGTTTTAGGATTACCAAAATAATAATTGGTGAATATAAGAACCTTTGGTGGGCTTACCTCCCACAAAAAATAAAGGAAAAAAATACTTTCAGCCCCCAAAAGCTAAGGAAACGTGCTTCCCACCCCCAAGACTTTGTCAACGGGTGTTTTACTCCCAAAAATAAAGATTATGTTATCTGAGCCCCAAAACACAAAACCCAAGACATTAAAATATGTGAAGACCATAATACTCTTCTCTCTCTTTTTCTTTTTTTATTAACATATGATGAGGATTATTTTATTATTTTTGTTTTCTCTCTCTCTTTATCATGATGTACTAAGATGATAATTAAAATGATTGACGGGGATTATTTTATTATTTTCATTTTTTATTATTTTGGTTGTTTGTATTAGGAGATTGTTAAAGTTACGGGTTAATTGTTAAGGTTACGAGTTAATTGTTAATGTTACGGGTCAATTGTTAAGGTTATGAATCCTCTCTCTCTCTTTCTTTTTTTATTAAAATATGATGAGGATTATTTTATTATTTTTTTTCTCTCTCTCTCTTTATCATGATGTACTAAGATGATAGTTGAAATAATTAATAAGGATTATTTTATTATTTTTATTTTTTATTATTTTGGTTGTTTGTATTAAGAGATTGTTAAAATTACGGGTTAATTGTTAAGGTTACGAATTAATTGTTAATGTTATGGGTTAATTGTTAAGGTTATGAATCATCTCTCTCTCTCTCTCTCTCTCTCTCTCTCTCTCTCTCTCTCTCTCTCTATCATGATGTTTCTTTGATGATATTGAAATGATTAAAGAGGATTATTATTTTATTATATTTTTTATTCTTTTTGTATTTTTAGAATATTCGCTGTTAAGGATAATGGTTGGTTGTAAAGGTTATGCATTGATTGTTAAGGTTACGGGTTGGTTGTTATGGTTAAGGGTTTGTTGTTAAGGTTATGGATTTGTTGTGTAGGTTACGGATTTGTTATTAAGGTTACGGGTTTAATTGTTAAGGTTACGGGTTTAATTGTTAAGGTTATGTATTTAATTGTTAAGGTTACGGGTTTAATTGTTACGGTTACGGTTTATTAATTGTTAATGTTACGATTTAATTTTTAAGGTTACGGGTTTAATTGTTAAGGTTACGAGTTTAATTGTTAAGGTTACGGGTCAATTGTTAAGGTTACGGGTCAATTGTTAAGGTTACGGGTTTAATTATTATGCTTACGGTTTTAATTGTTAAGGTTACAGGTTTAATTGTTAAGGTTACAGGTTTAATTGTTAAGGTTATGGTTTAATTGGTAAGGTTACGGTTTAATTGTTAAGGTTATGGTTTAATCGTTAAGGTTATGGGTTTAATTGTTAAGGTTATCGGTTTAATTGTTAATGTTACGGTTTAATTATTAAGGTTACGGATTTAATTGTTAAGATTACGAGGGAGAGAGAGAAGGGACCTATAACCTTAACAATTGACCCGTAACCTTAACAATTAAACTCGTAACCTTAATAATTAAACCCGTAACCTTAACAATTAAACCGTAACCTTAACAATTAATAAACCGTAACCGTAACAATTAAACCCGTAACCTTAACAATTAAATACGTAACCTTAACAATTAAACCGGTAACCTTAACAATTAAACCCGTAACCTTAACAATTAAACCCATAACCTTAACAACAAATCCGTAACCTACACAACAAACCCATAACATTAACAACAAACCCTTAACCGTAACAACCAACCCGTAACCTTAACAATCAATGCATAACCTTTACAACCAACCATTATCCTTAACAACGAATATTCTAAAAATAAAAAAATAATAAAAAACAAAAATAATAAAATAATAATCCTCTTTAATCATTTTAATATCATCAAAGAAATATCATGATAGAGAGAGAGAGAGAGAGATGATTCATAACCTTAACAATTGGCCCGTAACATTAACAATTAATTCATAACCTTAACAATTAACCCGTAACTTTAACAATCTCCCAATACAAACAACCAAAATAATAAAAACCGAAAATAATAAAATAATCCTCATCAATCATTTCAACTATCATCTTAGTACATCATGATAAAGAGAGAGAGAAAACAAAAATAATAAAATAATCCTCATCATATTTTAATAAAAAAAGAAAGAGAGAGAGAGAGAGAGAGAGAGAGAGAGAGAGAGAGGATTCATAACCTTAACAGTTAACCCGTAACATTAACAATTAATTCGTAACCTTAATAATTAACTCGTAACTTTAACAATCTCCCAATACAAACAACCAAAATAATAAAAAATAAAAATAATAAAATAATCCTTATCAATCATTTCAACTATCATCTCAGTACATCATGATAAAGAGAGAGAGAGAGAGAGAGAGAGAGAGAGAAAACGAAAATAATAAAATAATCCTCATCATATTTTAATAAAAAAGAAAGAGAGAGAAGGTATTATGGTCTTCACATATTTTAATATCTTGGGTTTTGTGTTTTGGGGGCTCATAGAACAGAATCTTTATTTTTGGGGGTAAAACACCCGTTGACAAAGTCTTGGGGGTGGGAAGCACGTTTCCTTAGCTTTTGAGGCCTGGAAGCATTTTTTCCCAAAAATAAATACAATTGTATTCAATTGGGATAAGCATACCCATTCAAAATTTCACTCCAATGGTTATAAATGGCCATAAACTAACCCGAGACAATGTAAAATATAAAATGTAGAAATAAATGATAACGTAGAGGCTTAGGAAACGTAACTTTAACAATCTCCCAATACAAACAACCAAAATAATAAAAAATAAAAATAATAAAATAATCCTTATCAATCATTTCAACTATCATCTCAGTACATCATGATAAAGAGAGAGAGAGAGAGAGAGAGAGAGAGAAAACGAAAATAATAAAATAATCCTCATCATATTTTAATAAAAAAGAAAGAGAGAGAAGGTATTATGGTCTTCACATATTTTAATATCTTGGGTTTTGTGTTTTGGGGGCTCATAGAACAGAATCTTTATTTTTGGGGGTAAAACACCCGTTGACAAAGTCTTGGGGGTGGGAAGCACGTTTCCTTAGCTTTTGAGGCCTGGAAGCATTTTTTCCCAAAAATAAATACAATTGTATTCAATTGGGATAAGCATACCCATTCAAAATTTCACTCCAATGGTTATAAATGGCCATAAACTAACCCGAGACAATGTAAAATATAAAATGTAGAAATAAATGATAACGTAGAGGCTTAGGAAATGGTCATTTTTTCAACACCTACATAATAAAATTGCATTATAGATTGCATTCAAATAATGGATTGGTTCATCTAAAAATTGCAAAAGCAATGTAGATTATATTTTTATTATTGAATGCCGCCTGCAAACAATGCGAGCACATTATAGGTGGCATTATCAAAATACGATCAATCATCATAGCCACAAATGCATCAAAAAACAAAACTTATCAAAGAATGACCAATCATCATAGCCACAAATCCATCAAAAACAAGCAACCAAGCTCAGACAAACTGAAACTGAAATAACCAAGCTCGCAACCCATCAAAAACAAGCTCAGTGCTCAAATAATCAAGGTGCAAGCAAGCAGTCGCAAACAAAAAATGAGTCTCACCTGCAAGCAAGCCATCACAGTATGCAAACAAGCTCATATAACCAGCAAGTAAGCTTCCACAAGTAAGCTTAGACCAGCATCAAAAATGAAACAAAACATGTCCACACAAAAGCAAGTTGGACCCAAGAATACAAGCAGCTTAGATTAGACTTAAAACTCGCAACAAACCAAGGCTGCAAGCAAGCCATATTACCAGCAAGTAACCAGTCTACAAACAAGCTCATATAACCAGCAAGTAAGCAACCGCAAGTAAGCTCATACCAGCTGCAACAAATGAAACAAAATCCTGCTATCAGAGCAAGCAACTCATATAACCAAGGCTGCAAGCAAGCAGCCACAAAACAAGCAAGATGAATCCAAGAATACAAGCAACAACACCCTCATGTAAGCTCAGACCAGCTGCAAAAATTGAAACAAAACCCTCCTGCTTCTTAATAGCAGCTCATATAACCAAGGATGCAAGCAAGCAGCCACAAATAAGCAAGCTGGACATATGCAAAAATTGTTAACGATATCATCATAGCTGCAAATCCATATGTGACCAATCATCATAGCCGCAAATCCATCAAAAACAAACAAACATTAGAAAACTCACAAGCCATCAAAAACGTCAAAAACTAACAAACCCATCAAAGACTGAATCTGAAGCTAAAACAGAAACATCAAAAACAACATCAAAAAACATTTTAGCCGCAAATCCATCAAAAACTAAATCTGAAACGTTTTAGCTCACAAGCCATCTAAAACACATAAAAAACAAGCCACCAAACTCACAATGTAAACTTAAACTCAACTGAGTCACATGTAATATCTTCAACTCGGATAAAAAGGAGTATGCTTCTGCAACTAAGTTACTATAATAAGGATCATTACGAATTTTCAATCCTAAAAGATCTCAAAAAAATTTGAAATAAATGCCAAAATATCAAAATTTGTTAGAGTCCATAAACGTCAAACTTACAGTTCATGAAAACGCCTGAAGTATAGAATTTATTCACCTGTAGCATCTACAGTCCTACTCAATCTAACTCACAAGTTACCAAAGTAAGCTCAAAAGCTCACAAAGTAACCAAGCTCAGTGACAAACTTAAACTGAAACAACCAAGCTCCACAGCGTGCAATGTAGGTTGCTATAAAGTATCATATCCATCCATATTTGCATCAAGTATCATAATAAATGGATACATAAACCTGCAAAAGAACCCAAATTATAATGAGATACCATCATCTTCTTGTGTTTCTTATAAAACCCTAAGTATCTTAGAGATCAAAATAAGAGTGACGGTGGGCAAGAACAAAACAGTATGCTAATATTACTATATACTATATAGCTAAATTTTTACTACCCCTTCGCTAAATCATATAGTATAGGATAATATATGGGTACATAAACCAGCAAGTAACCAATCTGATAAGTAATAAGGATGTTTCGATTTTCTCTTTATTGTTTTTTACTGGGGGTTAATGTAGCGTCCTTGTCCTCAAATTACTTATAAAAAATGTAACAAACAAAAGTTAACCGGAGTTCATTAAGTCCTAAAAAAACAGCCATGACTTTCTACCTAAATCGTTCAAGCGAGAAACTTTAGTTTTTCTAAGTGAATATTTCCATACAATAGACTTCCCTTTAGCATGACATAACTTTCTAGATTAAAGTTCAAACTATAATTGGATGCATAATTCCCTTTATTTATCCCCAAAACAAAAGGGAGAAGAATATTAAATTTCAATACACATGAAGGTAAACAAGAAAAAGGAGACAATTACCTTAACCTTTTTCTCATCTAATCGACTGAACCAATTTCTAATTAAATCAGCAAGATAAAGTTGCTCTATCCAATTATCAAACAGAACAGCTGCAAGACTTAGAAGAAGGCAAAATCGCCATCAAAGAGCTTGATTCACAAAAACCCATGAACATTAACTAGAGATAATAAAATAAAAATAAGAACAAAAATATCACCTGGAAAACTACCAAAGTGCTTGATTAACAAAACCCATTAACAGAAATTAGAAATAATGACAAAAAATAAAATAGAAAACCACCTGAAATTCGTGCTCCATCTCTTTCCTCTCTCTAAAGACAAAAACTTGTAGACAACACAAAGAGAGACTTCCTCGTCATCATCGATTGGGGCAAGTTCGCAAGTTGTGGCCATTGTTACCACAATGCGAGCACTTCCTCATCATCCTTGCTCTTTGTTTTCGAACAGATCACAGAGATATGATCGTGGGGTTTTGTGGGCGGGGTAAAAGTGGAGGGCGACAAGAACTCAGCGGGAAGAGGAGGCGGCAAGTCAGTTTTGGTAGCGGGAAGAGGAGGCGGGTAGGATTTGGTAGCGGAAAATAGAGGAGGCGGGTAGGATTTGGTAGCGGAAAATAGAGGAGGCGGGTGAAAGAGGAGGGAGAAGAACCCAGCGGTGACGGGAATGAGGGTTTTGGCTTCGGGAGCTGAGGAAAAGATGAGCTGGATTGCTTCTGTCAGACATCCAGCCTAAATCCTCTCTCAAAGAGAGGATTTCACAAATTCTAAAATATAATGTGTTTTTATAATTTAGGGATTCAATATACCAAAAATGATTTTGAAACAAACATGATTTATGGAATTCTAAAACCCAAAAAATCCACTTTTTCATCCCAAAACATATAATACTA